GAAAAGGTAACCAGGGTACTACCTGTCTCAATATAACCAAAACTGTGAAGAATATTTCTCATGGAGGAGGGGACTGTGCATGTCATGCTGTTCAAATGCTTGCATTCTGGCCTCACTGTATCTCCTGTTTAATTCAAAAAACTAGACACAGGTTTTGGCTAAGTTACCCAGCATTCCTAGAATACAAATGGTGGAAAGCATATGTTAGCCCAAACCGGGATTTTGTCCAGATCTTTCTCCATATGTGCAAAGTTTGCTTTAGTCTAAGGATTAGCAAACGGTCCGATATCTGATCTTAAAATGGAGGGAAAGTCATTGATGAAATAGTTAAAGATCAAAAGTAGTAATCTCTGGTTTCCTTCTGGTCCCAAGTTCTAATGTGGAAAGGAATATAAGAATAGGGGAGGTAAATCAATGGCTGAAGAGGTGGTGCAATGTGCAGGGATTCAGTTTCTTGGATCATTGGGATCTCTTCTGGGACAGAAAAGACCTGTTCAAAAATGACAGGTTTCACCTGAATGGGAAAGGGACAAATATCCTTTTTTTTTGGGGGCGGTTCGGGGTCGGGCAGGGGGAGGAGAAGGACATTTGCTTGTTCTATTTCGGGAGCCTGTGAACTTTTGGGGAGTGGGGTGTGGGATGAGGATGGGAAATGGGGGCTTCCTAAGTAACTGAAAATAAAAAGAAAGTTGAGGATGGTTCTGAATCTTAAAGGAACAAGTTAACTAGAAAGGGCAGACAAGAGCAAGTCAAAGAGTGAAGTAACTCTGAAGAATTAAACTGCATTTATTTCAATGCAAGAGGTCTTACCGGTAAGGCTGATGAATTCAGGGTATGTATGGGAACGTGCATGGAACTGTTGGAGGAAACTGGACCACCCGGAGGAAACCCACACAGACACAGGGACAACACGCAAACTCCACACAGACAGCCTCCTTCAACTGGAATCGAATCGAGTCCCTGGTGCTGTGAGGCAGCAGTGCTAACCACTGAGCCACCATGCCACCTCCACTTTAAAGATAAAGTATTTTATTTTGAGATATAAAAAAGGATTGGAATGGCTGGGACTTTTTTTCACTGGAGCATAGGAGTTTTAGGAGTAAACTTTTTGAGGTTTGTATAATCATGAAGGGCATAAGTAAAGTGAATGACAAGGGTCTTTTCTCTGGGATGAGGGAGTTCAAATTTGGGTATATTTTTCAATGTAAGACAGATTTTAAGGGTATGAAACAAGAACTTTCAAAATTTGATTGGAGTAGACTGTTTATAGGTAAACAGATGACTGACAAGTGGGAGGCCTTCAAAAGTGTGATATTGAGAGTTCAGAGGCATTATGTTCCTGTTAGAGTGAAAGGCAAGGCTGGGAAGATGAGAGAACAATGGATGAATAAAGATATTGAGGTTCTAGTCAAGAAAAAATAATCATAAAAATAGACAACTGGGATCAACTGAATCTCTAGAAGAGTATAAAGAGTATAGGGACATTCTTACAAAGGAAATCAGGAAGGCAAAGAGGGGAAATGAGATAGCCCTGGCAGATAAGGTTAAAGATAATCCAAAAAGATTCTACAAATACATTAAGAGCCGAAGAGCAACTAGAGAGAGAGTTGGACCCCTTTGAGATCAACAAGGTCATCTCTGTGTTGAATCTTGGGAGATGGGAGAGGTACTAAATGAATATTTGTGTCAGTTTTTACTGTTAAGAAAGGAATGGAGGCTAGAGAACTCAGGGAAATAAATATTGATGTTTTGAAAATAGTTCACATGACAGAAGAACAAATACTTTTGGAATACTGCACTCAATTCTGGTCTCCCTGCTATAGGAAGGATGTTGCGAAACTTGAAAGGGTTCAGAAAAGATGTCCAAGGATGTTGCCAGGGTTGGAGGGTTTGAACCTTAGGGAGAGGCTGAATAGGCTGGGGCTATTTTCCCTGGAGCGTTGGAGGCTGAGGGATGACATTATAGAAGTTTATAAAATCATGAGTATGGATAGGGTGAATAGCCAAGGTCTTTTCCTCAGGGTGAGGAGTCCAAAACTAGAGGGCACAGGTTTAAGGTGAAAAGAGAAATATTTAAAAGGGACCTAAGAGGCAACATTTTCATGCAGAGGCTGGTTGCATGTATGGAATGAGCTGCCAGAAGAAGTGGTGAAGGCTGGTACAATTACAACATTTTAAAGGCATCTGGATGGGGACATGAATAGGAAGGGTTTAGAGGGATATGGTCAAATGCTGGCAGATGGGACTAGATTAGTTTAGGATATCTGGTCGGCATGGATTCGTTGGACCAAGGGGTCTGTTTCCATGCTGTACAGCTTTATGACTATGACTTGAGGTCTTAGAAAGCATAAAGGTCGATAAATCTGCAGGATCTGATCAAGTGTATCCCAGGATATTGCGGGAAGTTAGGAAGGAAATTGTGGGCCCCTAGCGGAAATACTTGTATCATCTATAAACAAAGGTGAAATACCGGATGACTGGAGGGTGTCTGATGTTGTGCCATTGTTTAAGAAAGGCTGTAAGCCTGGGAACTGTAGATCTGTGAGTCTTTGACATCAGTAGTGGGTATGTTACTGGAGATGATTCTGAAAGTTAGGATTTCTTGCATTTGAGAGGCAAGGATTGATTAGGGATAGTCAGCATGGCTTTGTGTGAGGAAAACTGTGTCTCACAAACTTGATTGAGTTTTTAAATGAAGTGATGACAAAGATTGATGAGGGCAGAGCATTTGACGTTGTTTACTTGGACTTTAGTAAAGCCTTCGACAAAGTTCCGTATATTAGACTAATTTGTAAAGTTAGATCACATGGAATTCAGGTGAGCTTCCCAATAGGATACAAAATTAGCTTTATGGTAGGCACACAATGGTGTTGGAGGGTTGTTCTTTGGACTGAAGGCCTGTGACCGGCCGTGTTTCATAGGGATTGGTACTGGGTCCACTTTTGTTTGTCATTTATATAAATGATTTCGATGGAGGCATGGTTAGTAAGCTTGCAGATGATACCAAAATTGGTGGTACAGTGGACAGTGAAGAATGTTAACTAAGATTACAAAGAGATCATGATCGATTGGGTCAATAGGCTGAGGAGTGGCTGATGGAATTTAATTTGGATAAATGTGAGGTATAGCATTTTGGTAATATAAACAAATACAGGATTTATGCAATTAATGGGGGGGGCACTGGGTAGTATTGTAGAACAAAGAGACCTAGGAGTTCAGATACATAATACTTTGAAATTTGAATCACAGGTAGACCAGGTGGTTAAGAAGGCGTTTAGCAAGCTTACATTCATACTCAGACTTTTGAGTATTGAAGTTGGGGTGCCATGTTGAGGTTATACAGGACGTTGGTGAGGCCTCTCCTAGAGTACTGTGTGCAGTTCTGGTCATCCTGTTATAGGAAGGATATTATTGAGCTAGAGAAGATTCATAAAAGATTTACCAGGATGTTGCTGGGAATGGAGGGTTTGAGATATAAGAGTAGACTTGAAAGATGGGGGCTTTTTTCACTGGAACATAGAATGTTGAGGGGTGACCTTACAGAGGTTTATAAAATCATGAGGGCCATAGATAAGGTCAATGACAAAGGTCTTTTCCCTAGGGTGAGGGAGTTCAAAACAAGAGGGTACATTTTTAAGGTGAAAGGAGAAAGATTTAAAAAGGACTGGAGGAGCAACTTTTTTACCCTGAGAGTGGTTCATGTGTGGAATGAACTGTCAGAGAAGGTGGTGGATGCAGGTACAGTTGCAATGTTTAAAAGACATCTGGATAAGTTCATGAAAAGGAAAGGTTTGGAGGGATATGGGCCAAGCACACGCAGGTTGGATTGTTTAATTTGGGAACGTGGTTCGTGTGGACTAGTTAGACCTAAGGGTCTGTTTCCATGCTGTATGACTCTATGGTTAGGACTAGGGCACTGGCATGAGGAACTACTTCAGCGATGTTCTGGGCCTGAGATGATTGGCTTCTGACAACCACTGTCACTGGACAGTCACCTCTCACACATACCCCTGCTGATCGTCATTGATTCAGTTTTTCTAAGCTTCTTTGGTGAGGTAAAATGCTGCATTGATGTGAAAAGGAATCACTCTCCCTCATCTTTGCAGTTAACACTCTCGGTCCATGTTTGGGACAAGGTGTAATAAGGTTTGGAGCTGAATGGTCAATGTGGAGAAAGTAGATTTACACTCATCTGAGTGATGAGTGAATGCAGCTTGACATCAACACAGCTGATTCCTTCCATTACTTTGCTAATGATTGAAAGTCAGCAAATAGGATGGTAAGATATAAGGTTTCTGCTTTTTGTGGACAGGGTATATCTGGGCAATGTTTCACATTGTCAATTAGATGCCAATGTTATAAGCCCCCCTGGAATGGCATGGCTATGGCTGTTATTTGAAAGTATCAGTAGCTGTGCAATGCTAGTGAAATGACTGAAGCTATTCTCATAAATGAAAACAGAAATTGAGGGATTACTTGGCATATTTGGCATCATCTGTGGAGCGAGAAATAGAGTTAACGTTTTGAGCCAAACATGACTGCTTTTCAGAGTTGGTTTGGATTGAAATGGAAGGTGATGGAGATACAGAAAAATGGAGTTGAGGATGATCGTACCAGGCACGATCTAAAATGAATGGTGCAACAGGGTTGATGGACAGAATGGCCTACCCCACTTCTGCTCCTGTGTCTCGTGGACAAAGCCGAAGAGACAAACAAATCCTGTTAAAGAGAACAGCAGAGCTCTTTTCATTGTCTAGTAATATCTTTAGACATAAAAGTCTGCAAAATAACAATGTCATTTACAAAAACAGAGCAAATAAAAATTCAAATTCAACTTTTCTTTTGAAGTTTTTTTTAAATGGAAGCTGTGCAGTTTAAATCCATCAAATCTCTATTAGTGTTTATTGTTGAAAATTTCAACAAGTTTTAAAACAACAAATTGGAATTTATGTCACCGACTGTCCTGTTCTTATGTTTCCTTTCTTGAAAAATTGTGACAGATGACCTCTGGGTTGTATCAAAAACGTTGATGTTTGATGCATTGGACACGTTCATCGCACGTAGTGTATTCTATGGACCATCCTCAACAAGTGAAGTCGAGCTTTTGCCACTGAAAGGTTATTCTCCTTCCAAGTGGCCTTCGGACAGTAAGTTCTTTGTTCTGTGTTCTGTTTCTCTCCTCTCCCAGCCTGTCACAAAGTTTTTTATGTCTAAGCACGAGGAGCAATTAAACTAGTTTGTAAATTTTACCTTCACTAAATGACAGCAAGAAGGTTCTGTTTTATGCTCAGGATGTAATCAGAACAATGTACTTTTGGTTCCCCTTTTTCCGCAGTTCTTCTGCTGGTATCTGTGGTGCCATATTTGTCATAGAATATTTTTCTGATTATGCAAGACCTTCTCTCTTTCTTCTTTCTCTGCTCCCACCGTACAGATTTTCACAGATACGTTTTATGTACTCCGTTCCATCTTAGGTCAGGGAAAGGGGATTAAGGGCTATGGGTTGTATCCACCTGTTGCTTGACCAATAAGGTATTTGCTACAAGTGAAGTGGACAAAGTATTGGGGAAGGTCCGAGAGTGGTAATTTTCCAAGGCTAATCCCTACCTTGTTGTCAATATGGAAAGTGAACGTACGGACATCAGATGAGGAAAAATGTCCAGCTGTATTTCCTCCCCACTGTAGCAAACACTCACTAGGAAACAAGTAAAGAATGGTCTATTGGTGGTGTAAGGCACCAGATAAGAGGGTAAAAATGAATGCTTGAGTCACCATGTGAAGGGCAAGATTTATCACTTCAAGCAATATTCAGTTCTCTCGCATTCATTTATTTGGCATTTGAACAGAATGAACTGAAAAAATTGGTATTGTCATTATTTCTAGCCTGAAACCCAACCCCAGCATGTTGAAAAATTGCCTACTTATTGATTAGGTGAAATGACTTGGAATTGAGATCTAGGAATGTCCACAATACCAATCTTTTGAGTCATTGAGTCTAACAAATTTGAGGCATGATCTCCCATGCACAAAGCCATGCTGACTACTCCTAATCAAACCCTGTCTTTCCAAACGCATATATATCTTATCTCTCAGAATCTTCTAAACTAACTTACCTACCACAGATGTTAAGCTTACTGATCTATAATTCCCAGGTTTTTCTTTGCAGCCCTTCTTGAATAAGGGTACAACGTTCACTACCCTCCAGTCTTCAGGGACCTCACCTGTGGGTAATGATGATGCAATTTCCTGCATTTTGATCATGCTTTAACTTATTAAACTTACTTTACTCAACGGTAATGGATATTGCATCAAATGTTTTGAACCAAAGATGGTTTCATTTTATGAACAGGACCAAAGGTGTATTATTCATTTTTGTTTTGCCAGAGAGACATTAATACAATCAATACATTAACAGACCAGCTTGGGACAAAGTAAATTAGTTGTAAAAAATAGCAAAAGGAAAACGTCAGCATACCTTGGTCACTGTTTCTTCAGAGATTTAACAAAGATAAGAGAAACCTAATACTCGATTGTAGTTAATTTCAGTATGTCGCTACTTGTGTACTTATAATTTGTGGCAGCATTCATAAGACCAAAAGGTGCAGCAGAAATAGGCCATTCATCCCATCAAGTCTTCTCCACCATTCACTGATATGACTGAACTGCTAATCCTCAACTCCACTTTGCTGCCTTTTCCCCAAAACCCTTGATTTCCTTACTGGTGAAACATCTGCCCACTTCAACCTTGAATGTATTAAATGACCCAGCCTCAAAGGTCCTGTGTGGTGAAGCATCCTGCAAGTTGCGTCCCCTTCTCATCTCTGTCTGAAAAGGGTAACCTTTAATTATGAGATTATTCCCCCTGGACCCAGACCCTAGCACGAGAGGAAACCGCCTTTCTGCACCTACTCATTCTTCTAAACGCCAAAGCCAGTCTGTCTTTATTTAGATAAGGGGCCCAAAATACTGATCACAGTATTCCAGTTGTGGTCTGTCTCAAGTATAGCCTTAGTAAAACCTCTCTACTTTGACACTCCATTCCGTACAGCAAGATGGCCTGCCCCCAGTCAGATCCCAGCTGACAACCATGACCTGCAACCTGTCTGCTCTAAAGAGGATGCCAGTGCAACAGCACTGAGAGCCTTTGGCTCTAGCTGAAGTGCCAAAGCACTAACTGGCATGACACAGCTTGGCAAGGCAAGTCCGGCCAAACCCCACATCTCTCGGGCTCCTATTATGTTCCACCCCATGTCTCAAAGCTGAAAAGCTAATTTTCTCATCAGTTGAACACCTTGTTTTGTTGGCTGTAAGCTTGTTTCACTGGGCCTTGCTGAATAGATTTGTTCTTTCGATGCATTACCAGATCCCTGGTTTTTGAGCCATCAAAAAAAAGGTATCATTAACTTTGTGTCTAGCCGCTATGATGTACAATCAGTGCATGTAAGTCATTGTAGTTATCTAGAAGTTGAAGATGACTAATTCCAGGAATTTCTTCTGTTCTCCCAGTGATTGTTCATGCTTTGTTTGTTGGTAATGCCAGCACTGAACTTAGCTGTCTAAGAAATCTGCAGGAACATGTTAACCCAGCTTCTCTTCCTCTGCTGCCACACTTGCTCAAAATGTAAGTCATTCAGTTTTGTATTCAATACAGAAATATCTTAACATTGATCATTATTACTCGTGCACTCACAATTAAGACTTTTTTTTTAAAAGATCTTTAATAATAGGTGGAGCTATAATTATAAAAGCTCTTCACTGAAAATGCTTATTTGTTTGCAATATGTAAATTTAAATTAGTTGCAGCTTTTTCTCTGATATCAGAAAATTGACACTCTACTTTCATATTTAAAATTTGTATTCTTTGTGAGTTTTTAGTACTTTTCCTTCAATTTTCTCCCATCTTACCTGAAGGAACTGAGATTGTTTTTATAATCAGTGGCTAGCCTCATGGCCATTCTTCAAGGTTGAGTGAAGGTGATGGGAATGGAGGTTTCAACCCAGCAGAGGAGTTGGGTCCTGAAAACCTACTCAAGTAGGAATAGAATTTCTGCAAGTATTTTCCTGATCCCCTGAAATAAATTTGAGTACCTGGCATTTCGTTCGAGTTTTCACCGTTCTTGTCCAAATATTAAAAACAGAAATTCAACCCGATCCTGTGTCAAACAGAATGCGTGTGTTTAACCAGTAGAGCTGCTAGTTTGTAATCTGAAGCACAAATTTGAGCTGCTTTTTTTTTAACCCTTCCTAATTGTGGGAGTCTGGTGTACAATTTCAACTGACACACTGGATTAAATCACTTAAGTTCTGAGGAAGGATCACCAGATCCGAAACGTTAACTCTGATTTCTCTTCACAGGTGCTGCCAGACCTGCTGAGCTTTTCCAGCAACTTCTGTTTTTGTTTCTGATTTACAGCACCCACAGTTCTTTCTGTTTTTAAATCATTTAATGGTCTACTGACTGTGGACTTGAGTTTACGTCAAATGAGAAACTTTCCTGGCATATGCAATATGTCTCAGCTACACACTGTGTGGTTTATTTTGTAACTGAGCCACTGTTACTGTTCTTATCCTATTCTTGGTAAATGATGCAGAACGGTGGCTCAATGGTTAGCACTGCTGCCTCACAGTGCCAGGACCTACGTTCGATTCCAGCCTTGGGTGACTGTCTATGTGAAGTTTGCATGTTCCCCCCTCTGTCTGTGTGGGTTTTTGCTGGGTGGTCCGGTTTTCTTCCACAGCACCAAAGATGTGCAGGTTGGGTAGATTGGCCATGCTAAAATTGTCCGTAGTGTCCAGGCGTGTTTAGGGGCTAGGTGGATTAGCTAAGGTAAATGCGGGGTTACAGAAATAGATGGGGGATGGGATGCTCCTTGGACGATTGATGTGGACCCGATGGGCTGAGTGGCCTCTTTCCGCACTGTAGGGATTCTGTGATTCTAATGACAGTCGTGTTTATGTTTGTGTAGAGTATGCTAGGGGCAGGAATTTTGTTTTGAGATCAGCATTTGAACGTCAACATCAAATCTAGGCCCTGACACCACCCTGTGTCAGAAATAGTCACTCAATGCCAAGGACAGACAGAGGGCACATTTGCCACTAAGTATGAACAACAGGTAGGCTGTGGAAGTGGGGGGACTCAATAGGAGACCCTGAAACTGATGTAGGAAAGAGAGAGAGAGGGGACATGTTAAAATGGAATTGCCCTCTCAGCACTCTCAAAGTTTTAAAAAGATTTTTAAAAAATGTCCACAATTGCTAAGCTGCTGGTGTGGAGAGGGCTTCCCTTGGTGTGCTCATTGTTTGACATCGGTATTGGAAATGTGGGAAATGCTTAAATGTTTCAGCAGCGCTTGCCCCTGTCTGCTGCTGGCGGAAATCTCCTTTCACCAGCAGTGCAGAGTACCAGCCCGCCAACTGGAAAATTCAAGTCCATGTGTAAGAGGGTCATTAATATACCCCTTATGGTATGTAATTGTTTCACCCCGATACCATTGTGTGATAATGACCCGGAGGCCAGACTGTGCCAGAAAACAGCACTCTGATCTGCAGCAGGAAATTCTGGGTTCACTTGTCTCCAGTCCTGTCTCCACCAGCAACTGCAAGTTCAGCTTGAGTACTAGGCATGAAAAACTCATTTCATTCAGTGCTTCCATAAAGAGCAATTTGTATTGGCTTTTGCTAAAAACAAACCAGATTTGTTTCATAAATAAATAGCTATAATTGAAGCAAGATGATAAGGAAAAGTATTAACAGAATCCAGTTATTCAACTCTGGTTTCACAAACACCTGCATTTTGTGTTGGACACCTACATTACTTACTTTAGTTTCTTTGTCAGTTAGACAAACACACATATTTGTCAAAGGGAAATTGGTCATATAACTGAAACACAAATTTCTGTAATGCGTTGGCTTTTCTTTTCATCAAGTGGAATATCAGAATGTTTTATGTTTTCTCCTCCTGTTTGCTTTCAGTATCATGGGCAATATTCTTGCGTGAAATGTGATACACTGGTATTTGACAAGTGGGCCACTTTCTGGGGAAACAAGAATGTACGCTAATCTTGATAGCATTTTTTTTCATTTTGTGCTGTGAATTTTGCATAATATCAATGGTATAAAGCAGGGAGAAATAATTAAAGAGCAAAGAGATTAGTTTCTGCCTTTTCATTGATCTATACACATGTACTATGCACATGATAGCCTATATATTTTGCTGCTTAACAAATTGAAAGTAAATAACGGTTACTTGTATTCTATGTTTTTATTCAGCATTACTGGTGTTAAAAAGTGACAAGTTTAGTTTTCTTGTTACATTTTATAAAGCTATGCTTCTATATTGTTATTTAAAATGTCATATGATCCTTTAAAAAAACGAATGTTTTGTTTCAATCCATAGGCCTTGTTATGATGAAGCAATAGTCAAGTCTGGAAGAGGAAGATTTATTTCACCTGCGTTAAAAATGCCCGTGGTAATGACTGGATTGTTGTGCAAAGAACGGACAGTTGCATTGGCAACAGAAATGATGCGGAAGTTTCACCTGAATACAGATCAGGCAGCTGCATTCAGACAAGTAGCTATAATGATGGCCAAGGGCGAGAGCCCCCAAGATCTCATTCTGTCAGTCACTGTTATCCATGGTAAAAACAATTAAATGCTCCTTGGATTTTGTTATTGACATGTTTTTTTTTGTTTTGTCTTTCTCCATCACAACTTCTAAACTTTTATATTCCATTATCTCCTTTCTGTGGTATTTGGACCATTTTGAAAGACTATCCAGCTCAGCCGGCACATTTATATTTCTTGAATTAATTTCTGGGCAATTCTAATAGCACTGCACTGTTCATTAGACTTGCCCCTGCAGTTTCAATTTGCGTGAGTCTTTGCACTACAAATTACTGTTAGTGTGAGACTAAAACAGTGCAGCATCCTCTGCAGAGTCAAAGGGGTAGCAACTATGTGTCTCCTTAACCAGTCTGATTACAAAATTGTTAATGTGCAGAGCTACCTGAAAAGCAAATGCCAGAACAGTGAAATCATCTACAGAAAGCAAAATAAAATGTTGGAAAGAAAGATTGAATTAAGATGAAAAGAAAATGTTCTTCCTAAACAAAAACAATTTAAAAGAAAAAAATACACCCCCAATTAAAATTTGAGGGAATGAGAACCCACTGCTAGAGAGATGGTTTGGTTAAGATTTTCCAAAACAAACTGGATATCTTTCTTTACTGTGTCGTATTTTGTTACATTTCTATTCAGGGGTCTATGGAGCTGGAAAGAGCTATCTGTTGGCTGTTTTGATTTTATTTCTTGTTCAACTTTTTGAAGATAGTGAAGCAACTGAGGGTCCTAGGCAGGTCCCATGGAAACTTCTCATCTCTGCCTCTACTAACGTTGCGGTCGACAGAGTACTGCTTGGGTGAGTGAAATTGCAGCATGACAAACTAAATGCGGAGTTTGTTCTTTTTCAGTTATTTAATTTGATTTTTCATCAGTGCTTTTCCAACTGCCTCCTGCTGCAAAAGTCAGCGTTGTGTTCAGAAGAGCTTGCAGATCTCATGTTCTCAAGCTGACCTGCAAGTTTGCTAATCTCAGCCAAACTGGCAGTGATATTAATTCTAAAATAAGAAGGAAGAAAAATCGCCCTCTGGGTTTGTTGCAGTTAGAATTAAACAACCTCCTTGTTCGAAGTGTATAAATGCAAATGTAAGAACTATTCGCAAGAGTGGGCCATATAACCCGTTAAGCCTGATTCTGCCATTCAGTATAGTCCTGCTGATCTTCTGTCTCAACGTGAGTTTTTAACGGAGTCCATATCCCTTGTGTTGAGGTACGTGTTTAAGTGGGTGTGGTTATGTTCTCTGGTTACATTATCAGAGGGGAAATGATGCAATGTATTAAGTGTTTCAAACTTAATCTCATGTGGCTAGGGTGAAGCAAGCAGATTAATGATGTATATTAAAATGTTTTCCAAATTTGTAATGCTGCTACCAACTCTGAACTCCTTAATAATTGAATCTATGTATTTGTTTGTAATCAAACCCTTATCTGCGGTGCTTTGACATTTAGTTGTTACTAAGCATAAAAACGTGAAAAGCACAACCTTGATTCCTTGAGATCAAATATCAATTTGTCTCAAACTTGAATATATTAAACCTTTTTGAAGTAGTCAATTTGCACGTAAACTAACTTGTTCCTTGTGTAAGTCAATGCAAGTCTGTTTGAATATCAACATTTACAAGCGTAATGTCTCTTTAAAAATACTCTGCTTTTCTATTGTCATCAAAACAAATAACCTCACACTTCTCTAACTTATACTCCATTTACCTTCTTGTTACCCACTCACTTAACCCACAGCCTGTCTGCATCCTGCTCACAACTTACTTTTCTACCTAGCTCTGTTTCATCTGCAATCTTAGATGTGTCACTCTCTGTCTTTTTGTCTAAGTCATGAATAAAAATTTTAAGTAGCTAAGGCCCTGGCACTGATCTTTGCAGCACTTCACTGATCACAGCCTCTCAAACTGAGCATGGCTTATTGCTCCCTAGCCATTAACGTAACTTCTGTCCATGCTAATAAGTTATACTCAACTCCGTAAGGCCTTATCTTGCTTCTGAAACTTTTGTGGGGTATCGGATTGAATGTCTTATGGAAGTCTAACTGTGTTATATTGACCGGTTCACCTGTGAAAGTTAGGCAGGAAAGAGGCGAGTGACAATGTTAGACAGGGAAGTGACAAATGAACAAATTGGGTAGCGATGCGACAATACAAGAGACATCTGTCCTGTGGGTGAGGCAGCGAGCAGGTGGTAAATGAAAAGAATTTGGATTTTTTTTGGACAAAATTCAAGATTGATTTATCCATGGGATATATCGAAGAATTAAGCTCTTTTGCCGATTTCTACACAAGATCAGCTATTACCTGAGTGTATGCAGTAGTGAAAGATTGGTGACTACAAAATTAGAAGGAACCAAAGATTTAAGACCATCATGAGAAGAACAAGGGAAAACCAAATGAAATATTATCATACCAAGGGCAATGCAACATAAGTGGATGTACAGATAACAAGCACAACATATTTTCCAAAAAATAGATGAATATTTCAAAAGAACGCATCAGAAACAACAAGGAAAATACAAGGAAGAGGAGCTGGTGTAAGAAGTTGCAGGTGAAGATTTAGCATTGCCACAATGGGTCAAATGGCCTCCCTCTGAGTTTTACATTCGATGATCCAGTACTACCAGGAGCATTCCCTTGGAGTATCTACTTTTGGAGTTTTCTCTTTTTTTTTTCTCTGTTTCTGAGTAACATATGTCAGTTGTCACTGCTTTTCTGCTGCTAGTTCAGTAATATAGATAGCAATAATAGTTGAGACGTATTTCAGAGGCATATTTGATTGCAGTGAAGTGACTAATGAGTTAAATTATAGTGGTGTTGAGAATTATCTAGTTTATCAAAAGCAAGTTTGAAACCAAAAAAGGAGTTCAAAAAACAAAACGTTACAGGATTAAATGTTAAAATGGAAATGCGAGGATTCATCGGTTCAGCTGTAAAGGCAAACATTTTTATCTCTTTTCTTCTTTTCTTACTGCCAACTACACAAAACAATGTAATATTTTCACAAGTCATAAATAGATCTAATATTCATAAAGGCAGCCAAACTTATCACTTAAGAAAGAATAAGAGAAGTAAAAATAGAAAAACTGCAAATTCTGGAAATGTGAACTAAAGGCCAAAAGTGGTGATTGTACACAATCCATTTTTCAATCCCTGAAAAATAGACAAGTTTTGCATATAGATCTTTCACCAGATCTGACTGATAAGAGAACTCCTGTCAATTAATTTACAGCACAAGGTTATTTATTTTGTAAGTATTTTTGTGGACTAAAGGGAAACAATGTATAAAATAATTATATTAATTAAAAAGGTTAAAAAACAGAATTAATATTAAGTATTTAAATTTAATAATTAATGTTAAACATTCAAGTTTTGTAGGCCAAGAGATAGGTTTAGATGAAAAAGACTCTTGAATCCATTCTATCATTAATTTTAATCCATTTGGATCTTCTTTACTGTTTCATGGAATGTAGGCATCATTGGCTGGCATTTGTTACCTATCCCCAATTGCACTTGAACTGTGTCACTTGCTGTGGCATTTTAGAGAGAGGTTAAGAGTCAACCGCTGTCTATCAGTCGAGTCATGTGTAGACCAGACCAGGTAAGAATGGCAGATTTCCTTCCCCAAAGGCCATTAGTGAAGCAGTGTAGTTTTACTATAATAGATGATAATTTTATGGTTACTGTTACTGACACTAACATTCAATTCCAGATTTATTAACTGAATTTAAATTCTACTGGCTGTTTGGTGGGATTTAAATCCATGCCTCAGTGCATTAGCCTGTGTCTCTGGATTTCTAGTCCAGTAACATTTTTGTTGCACCACTGTCTCCCTTTAATAAATTAGTATCCACTGGTTCCTAATCCAAGGGGACAGAAACCCAACAGTATTACTAATTGGCTCAATATTGTGCATTCAGGTGATTATAGGACCAAGTTAGAGAAATTCTGCAGCATGTACCTCGCTGCCTAGAAGTGAGGTGGAAGTAGGTTCAATTGAATTGAACTGAACTGAATTAGGTTTATTGTCACATGAACTCACATGAGTACAGTGAAAAGTTTAGTAGTCGCAACTTATGGTGCCATCTTGGGTACAAAGGTACCTATGCACAGAATCTTGGTACAAAGAGAAAAATAAAGAAAACAAAGTTTAAAAAATTAAACACTACACTCCTCTTTACTAAAATGTAGAAAAACAAAGAAATATAGTTAACAGAGATAGCAAGGTGTAGAGCTGGATGAACACAGATTTCTGAAGAAGGGTCTAGGCCCGAAACGTCAGCCTTCCTGCTCCTCTGATGCTGCTTGGCCTGCTGTGTTCATCCAGCTCTACACCTTGCTGTCTCAGATTCTCCAGCATCTGCAGTTCCTACTATCTCTGAAACAAATATAGTTAACAGTTCAATACCACAGTCCATAACCACCTAACCATACTGGACTTGCACTGCTGAAAAGGCTTGACCTCCTGTGCTCCAGGTTCAACCTCACCCCCACTGCTGCCCTGGGCTGCCTGCTCTCACCACTTTCAGCCTGTTCTTGCTCCCACCACTGCCTCCTCAGGCTGGCTGTTCTCTCTCACTCTAGCCGCCCCAGGCTGCCTGCTCTCGGCCTCACCTCTGACTGCCTTGAGGCAGTCAAGACAGCATCTTGATTGTTTAAATGGAAATAATGTTTAGGATTATGGGGAAAAGGCAAGAGATGGGCACTGAGTCATAATGCTCATTCGGAGAGCAGAAGATGACACAAGGGAGCTAATGGCCTGCTTCGGCACCAGAATAATTCTGTGAATTCAAAAAGATTGCCCTTTAGATGAAGCGTGACTATCCTTAAAGTATATGGATTGAATGTTCAACTCTGCTGTCGGAGGGCCAGCTCTTTTTTTCGGTTAATGCTGACTCTACTGACTGTTTGACATTTCATTTTAGAAAAATGAAAATAAATTTGATAATTATTTTAGGGTGATTGTGCTTGAGTGTTGACCTCTTTACATTTGGTGATCTTTCTGCACAAAAATGAAGGAAAACCTACCTGCAGGTGCGAAGCACATGTGCGAATCCAAAGATGGGTGCATTCAAAGATGCAGTCTTGTTTTTAGTCCACAAAATTTGGACAGTGTACTGTACTGAAGTTTATTGTAGGTATAGAATTTTGCATTCTTTTTTAAGGTGGTGCACTAATCCAGTTAAAAGAATTTGCAGAATTGTACAAAAGTGGCTTTATTTCTCTTTCAATAAACAATTGGTTTTATATTATGAAGTAAATTGATGTGGTTTCTTTCTTTTACTTAGGCTTCTTGAGCTAGGATTTGATAGATTTATCAGAGTCGGAAGCATTCGGAAGATTGCCAAACCGATTTTACCATATAGGTAAACACAATTTCTATATCCTATTTTAGACGTGAATGAAGCTGTAATACAGTAGAGTGTTTGTTTGTGTTGTAGATCGGGAATACATTGCAATGATGGCAGACAGATATTTGACTGTTCTGACAGTCAGTAGCATTGAACTGAATTGAATTGAATCGTTCATTGTCATATGTATTCAATGTAAAAATACAGTGAAAAGTGTGTACCTTCGCCGTACATACATTGCGCCATTCACATTAACTTCGAATAAGATAAGGAAGAAAAGGTAACTTGAGAGAGTCCAATTTTCCTTTCCACTGCTGCAGTCCCTCTCCGAGCTTTCCAGCCCTCACCATGCTTCCACCCAGAATCCCACTCCGGGCTTTCCAGCCCTCGCCATGCTTGCGCCAGAATCCTACTCCAGGTTTTCCAGCCCTTGTTATGCTTCTGCCAGAATCTCTCTCTGGGCTTTCCAGCCCTCGCCATGCCTCCGCCAGTTTCCCGTTCTGGGATTTCCAGCCCACACAATGCTTCCGCCAGAGTCCTGCTTTCCAGCCTTCTCAATGCCGCTGCCTCACCGGCCTGATCTCACCGCTGCTGCCTCTCTGGCCCGCTGTCGCCGGCCTACTCTTGATCCGCCGCCGTCGCTCCGGCCCACGCTTGATCTGCCGTCGCTGCATGACACAACCCGTGTGTTCAGCTCCCGCCACGTGGTTCCCGGTCGCGACCGGCCTCTTTCTGACTCCTCAGGTACGTAGTTAAAAGGGTTGAGAGGGGTGGATAGAATTACTGCAGGGGGAGAGAGAAGAAGGGAGAAAAAAAGAAAGAAACAAAACTGGATAGCAGAATGGAGATCCGAACGAAGCAACTTACTCTGCTGCCATTTTGTTGGAAGAAGGCAAGAGAGAACTCCTGTTAGTGATCTGATTGAATGTAGTATTATAACTGAAGTTGGAAAGATGCATCAATTTTCTTCCAATCTCCATTCCTCCACGGGTCATAACACATTTAAAACTTATACAGGGTGATAATACGTGCAATTATTTAGGTTTTAGATTGTATTTGGATTAGTCTTAGAAAATATTCAGCTAGATTTCTTTTGTCAATAGAGAATAATAAGTTTATTGCAAATAAAACTTAATCAAGTAGGCAAAGATTATTGACAAAAACGGTATAGACAGCGCGAAGAAAGATAACGCTTGTACTCTAACATCTCAAACTTGAGGCAAATACGAGTTACACAAACGATGATCGAACGCGCCACACAAATTCAGTCAACCTTACTCCATGGATTTCTGTGCAGTTATAGAACCATAGAGATATACAGCAAGGAAACAGATCCTTTCGGTCCAAATCATCCATGCTGACCAGATGTGCTAAATTAATTTAATTCCGTTTGCCAGCACTTGGCCCATATCTCTCTAAACCCTTCCTACTCATGTACCCATGACTTTTAAATGTAATTGGACCAGCCTCCACCACTTCCTCTGGCAGCTCATACCATTCATGCACCACCTCTTGTGTGAAAAAGTTGCCCCTTAGGTCTCTCTTAAATCTTACCCCCTCCCACCTTAAACCTATGCCGTCTAGTTTTGGACTTCCCGACCATGGGGTAAAGGACCTTGGCTATTCACCCTATCCATGCCCTCATGATTCTATAAATTCATCTCTCAGCTTCTGATGCTCCAGGGAAAACAGTCCCAGCCTATTCAACCTCTCCCTATAGCTCAAACTCTCCAACCCTGGCAACATTCTTGTAAATCTTTTCTGAACCCTTTCAAGTTTCATAATATCTTTCCTATAGCAGGAAAACCAGAATTGAATGCAGTATTCCAAAAGTGGCCTCACCAATGTCCTTTATAGCCACACATGGCCTCCCAACTCCTTTACTCAATTAACTGACCAATAAGGGCAAGCATACGAAATGCCTTCTTCACTATCCTATCTACTTGCGACTCCACTTTCAAGGAATTATGAACCTACACTCCAAGGTCTCTTTGTTCAGTCATAGTCCCAGGACCTTACCATTAAGTGTATAAGTCCTGCCCTGATTTGCCTTTCCAAAATGCAGCACCTGACACTTATCTAAATTAAACTCCAGTTCTCTGGGTTATTAAATCTCATTAAAGCTTCTCCAGATTTTGAGTCTTCACTTTCCACAACCTGACCTTGAAACTCCCTTAACAGCCTGTTTTCTTAACTCTTAAATTCCTGGGGAGGACAAAGATACTGTAAAACTCTCTTGAAACACAGCAGCGTTGATCTTACTGTCTGAGAGGAACTTGCTGCCATTTGTTCAAAAAGACAAAAAAAATCAATGAAACTGTCTCACATTTTGAAGACATCACTTCTTACAAGGCAAAGCAGTGACAGAGTAGGAAAGAAATAGAAACAAGTCCTGAACTCTGGATCCTGTTGCCTCTTCGGGCATCCTACCATGTGTCAAAGATCTTTTGTTTGAGAATCAGCCTGTCCAGTCACGTGGAAAACCAAAGGAGAAACCTACAACCCTGAGTAGATAGTAGGGACAATGATCAATATCCTGTCAGGTTATGGGTGTGTGTGTGAGTGAGTAAGTAAATAAAAACCTCTATTGAATGTCTAAGCTCCTTAGTGCCCCCCAACAGCTTTTCCACCATGTATAAAACATAAGTCAGGGCAATGATGGAATACTCTCCACTTGTTGATATTAATACAGTTCCAATAACTTCATCTAGGAAAATGCAAAACACTTGATCAGTACCAAATCCATCACTGTAAACATTCACTCCCTCCACCACTGGCACTTCACAGTGCAGTGTGTACCGTCTATAAGGTGGATTACAGCAATTGCCTAGGCTTCTTTTGACAGCATCTTCCAAACCCACAATGACACGAAGGAAAGACAAAGGGCAGCACTCACATGGAAACGCCACAACTTGCAAAGTGCATGCTATTGCAATGTATTATGGCATTCCAATTCCTTCATTGTCACTGGGTCGAAAAACCTGAAATAGCCTTCCTGTTAGCATTATGAAAATAACTTTAACATCAAGACTGCAGCTAACATCTTCTCGAGAACATTTAAGGATTAACATTGCATGCTGTCATTGTCAGCTCACCCACAATACATGAATCCTTTCTCCTTTCTCTCTCTCACTTGCGTGTACACACACACGCTCCTCCTCCCCCACAACCACTCCCCCAACTCTGGATCTGTCTTGCTGTCAGAGATCAATTAGGGCTATTTCTTGTACATAATACTTATTATTACAATAGCTAACAGAGATATTAGCACAGTCGCATCATAGAAGTACTTAGTAATTGATTTGACCAGCTTTTAGAAGATTAAATACTTTTTTTTAGAAAAACAATCATTTAGTTTGCTTTTCTCTTTCTGGAATGTACTTTCTGTTGTTGGGAGTTGCTGAAGATTACACCCAAGCTCCGGTCAGTATCATGCCCAGTTAGCCATAATATTGAGTGTTAAGTGTGAGTGCATTTTTCATTTTCCTTTTTAAGGGGAGGTGATGGCCTAGTGGTATTATCGCTAGCCTATTTATCCATAGACTGAGGTAATGTTCAGGGGACCTGGGTTTGAATCTCATCTTACGATATAGTGGAATTTCGAATTGAATTTAAAAAACAAATCTGGAAGTAAGAGTCTAATGTTGACCATGATTGTTATAAAAATCCATCTAGTTCACTAATGTCCATTAGGGATGATTTCCTTACCTGGTCTGGTCTGACTCCAGACCCACAGCAATGCGGTCTATCTGGGCAATTAGAGATGTGCAATAAATACAGGCCATGCCAGTGACACCCACATCTTGTGAATGAATAAAAGAAAAATCACTCCCTGTGTGAGCTGAGTCATTTCTGTTCAGTGAGATCAATATTGGAAAATCTTTGCTATTATAGATTTAGTTTTATGGAATTATTTTGTTTTTGTTTTATTAGTTTACATGCAGGTAGTGACAATGAAGAACTAAGAGAGCTGCAAGCACTTATGAAAGAAGACCTAACTCTTGTTGAAAAGATGCACGTGAGAAAAAGTGTTGAGCAACACAAATTGGGCAGGAACAGAGCTGTGCTGAAGGAGGTGAGAATTATGTTTTAGCAAGTGACATATATTGAAATAAAATTCTTTCAGCAGTACAGGCCTTCGTAAATGTGGTACAATGTGTTTTGTTTGCTAAACGCACATGGAATTAAGCTTTCTCTAACCTGGCTTTATGGATTATTTTTGCTGATGCACTATACGAGAATATTTTCACAAAACATCAAATTTGTACATAAAGATACTTCTAATTTGACCTGTAATGTCAGTTGAAGTGAGAGGTGAATATAGTGAATATGTAAGTAGTACAATTAATGATAAGTTGTTACTCCAAGATCACTTGTGTGATTTGAATTTTTATTTTGTATGTGATGAAACAAAGACTTTACATTTATGTTGTACCTGTCAAAACCCCAGAATGACCCACAGTACTTCCTAGTCAAATAAAGTACTTTCATTGCAATATTGGGCAACATGACCATTATTTGCAGACCAAGGTCCTACAAACAGTGATGAGATAAATAGCTTGTTAATCTGTTTCAGTAATGCTGAATGAGGGATAAATGTTGGCCAAGACATGGGAGAACATGTCTGCTCTTTTGTTTGAATATGATTATGGTGGGTATGTGGTGTTTTTTTTTCCTGGTGCTGCATGTGTGTTAATTTGTGCATGTTTAAGAGATGGGCTGGTTTCTTCATGTCTATTGGACATTTCAGCAGGAAGCACTTAAATTAACTGAGTGGCTAGCTCAGCAATTTCTCACCTACTCCCAAGCTCACCTCCTGGAGGGTGGGCACCAAAATGGACAAGCTACCCACCACATGTAAGTAAACAACTAAAGGTCAGCCAGATTTGTTGGTAAGCTTATTGACATAGATAATATGCTGCTTATACCACAATCTGTTTGCTATGTGCAGGCGGACAGGAGTGGGCAGACCATTTTTTATACCCTATGTGAAAAGAGGGACGGAAGAAAGGGAGGCCACTTAATTCAGAGGGGCACTGGACACAGCAGGGGCACCCCCTCCCCAGATGTCACTCACCCCTACAAATTGCCCACCGAAACCTGGCTACTAGCAACAGACATATGTGCAGACACCATTGGTGCTACTTCTCAGGCAAAATGACATTTCTTGAGCCCAAAGTAAACAGGTAGAGACAGGGCCAAATTTTGCAGCTAGTATGTCTTATCAAGGTCTTTTACTAACTAAGTTCAAACCTACCCTAACTCTACACCCCACATTATTTTACCAGCGCAGACAATGGAACAATGATAGAAGCAACAGTTCTTGCTGTTTTTTTTTCTCCAGAGGCAGGAGGGCAAATGGGTAGTTCATCTGCTGCTGTCTCTGAGATCAGCTAACTTGGTCCAGATCAGATATCAAACCAGCTACAGAAATCAAAATACTGCATATGCTGGAAATTTGGAATGAAAGCAGAAAATGATAGGGCTGATGAACAACCTATTTTTTTCCTTGGTACTGGGCCAACCAATGCTGTTACACATCAGCCCATCAGGAAGCCAATGTGCTCTGTTTCCATTTTCTCTTTTACCATTAACAGTGTCTGTTTTTAAAGTATATCTTAGGAAATTGAACTTTCAGAAATTAGCACTTAATAAGAGGGCAATTAAAATACATCAAAAGATTAGAACAGGACCAAACAGAAGTAACCCCAAACTATTGTTTGGACTTCCTTCCGTCTCTATGATTGAGTCTGTGGTAATGGGAAATGTTTAGCATTTTGCTTTAGGCAGGTGGCTATCTGAGATGGAGGGACAGTGTAAGTACTGGGGATTGTTTTACTTACTTGAATTGTTCATATTGCAAAAGCTTTACACACACAACTCTATGATTGTTTCTCTTTATTTACGTTTTTGGTTTCTCTCTTTGTGTAGGTGCGAGTGGTAGGAGCCACTTGTGCAGCATGTCCTTTTCAGTGTATGAACAACCTGAGCTTTCCATTGGTGTTACTGGATGAGTGCAGTCAGATCACAGAACCAGTTTCTCTCCTTCCTATTGCAAGGTATTGCTGATCTATAGACAGCTCATTGATTTGATTTAAATAGCCACACCACCCATCACAAATCCAATGTGGTGTTTGTCTCTCTGACAATTGTGTAAATTCAGAGTGACACAGTGTCTCCCATAACTAAAAAGAAGCAACACGCCTTGCAGGATATACATACTTTGTAGCTTAGTAATCCACAGATGTTCCTGTTTCTGTAGATCTAACCTTTTAGAAAAATATGATTTGAATTGGAACAGTATTTGGAAGTTTGAACCTGATGTGTGGTCCATTGACAATTCTTAAAAGTGACAAGAGAAAGTATCCCACTGCACACTTACTGCAATGTAATTAAAACTTAAGTAGCCACAGGCTTTATCCTAGTCTGTGCACAGTTGGCTGATCTCAGATAACAATAAGTAGGCCTATGGCTGTGTTAGACAGAGAGAGGAGAAGTATATTAATACTGTAAGTAACTTTGAACAGTCAAAACTGGGTTTTTCATTTCAGGTTTGGATGTGAAAAGTTGATCCTTGTTGGCGACCCCAAGCAATTGCCACCTACAATTCAAGGCTCTGAAAGTGCTCATGAAGCTGGCCTAGAACAAACTCTCTTTGACAGAATGTGCCTGATGGTATAGTAGTTACCTTAATGAAATATTTGAAGGGAATAGCTGTGAACTATGGCTCTTCATGAGTTAAAAGGGAAGCAAAGCATATTTTACAGTAACTGTAATCTTTTAAACCTTAATGGACCCACTTCAAAAAAGTGTACATGAATAATTTCTATTGAAATCCTGTCTTGCCAATTCCAGCTCCCTTTTGTCATGACACTGGATTAGATAGCATCATTGTGGGTCTGAAAGCAAGCACAGAAAGTGCTGAGAATATAGCGAGACAGTCAGCAGGTATGAAGAGAACAGAAATGTCAGACTTTAAGACGTTATGAGAATGGCCTGCACCCAATTTTTCTGTTCTCACTATATATGCTGATTTGATATGCTTTGCATTTCCAGCACTTCTCTTTTTATTTCAGATTTCCAGCATCTGCACATGTTTGGTTTTTGCATAATAGTGATGCTGTTGCGTTTACCACTGCATCCGTGCGAAATCTGTGCAATAAGATCACCCTTCAGCAGCTCAGAGCTATGTAGCTGTACTTCCTACACACTGAACAAAATGCTACTGGCAAAGTTGCAGAGAATACTGTTTCATATTGGTCACTATGTTATTTATTTATTTGTTTCTGATTTACAGCATCGGCAGTTCTTTTGGTTTTTATTTGTTATTTATTTATATTGATTAGTATTCTAGATAAATTATTTCTGATCACTGTCACATTTGATCACTCAAGTAATTAAAGCCTTGCAAGTAATTGGTGTGCAAACTAAATTTTACAAAGAGCCTCTAGATATAATATGAATAAAGGCTGTGCAAGATGTAGTTCTACATTTAATTTTGAACATCACAGAAAAACTCGTTTGGAAACTACTGAACCACATAGTCAACCTAACACTGTAACATCAAATCTTGTGAATTGGTTATACCTGTGAAAGGTTTGTTTCGCACTTAAATCCACTATTCATGAAAAACTGCACAAATATTCAGTATTTTATAGTGTACTAGGTCACTGATCTGCATGTTCTGATAAATATATTCTGTAAGACCATTGTCCAGTGAATCAGGTTTAACCTTATGAGTAATTAGTAAACGATTTTATAGGAAATAGTATATTCATGCACTTAAAATATTAAATAACTTAACTCACTTTTACCAATAATGACCCATACATTTTCCCATCTGTACTATCTGTCTCAAGTGTCTTTGCAATGCCAACTTTGCATTATAAACTCACTCCCATTCAGATTCAGTTTTATCGATTCAGTCAGCCATCTGTGCCAACCGTCTCAGCTGTGGAATCTGTTAGCAACACCAGCTGCAACCAACATTGTATTAGTAGTATGTGCTAGTTGTGCCAAGTACACATTAAGCACAAAAAGAATATTTGAACTCTTGTTTAGAAAGTGGCCAGGTTCAGGGTTAATGATGTCCATGCTTTCCCTTACTTTGTTTGGTAAGTAGTTCTTTCTATCTCATTTAAAAGCAAAATCTCTTTGTTACCATTTCAACATCTAAAAAGAAATAGCATTACTCTCAGTATTGGTCACACAGATTTTTTTAAACTTTTGTTTGAAAGCAACTATGAACCATCCATGTGAATGATTTTGTTCAAATTGATAATCCTTCTGATTTTTTTTTTCCTTGTCCCTCAGGGCCATAATCCCATTATGCTAAGGACTCAGTACAGATGCCACCCTACTATAAGCGCTATAACAAATGAACTCTTCTACAATGGGAATCTTAAAGATGGACTTTCTGCTTCAAATCTAAACCCTCTGTTGGACTGGTTGCCTACTCTTTGCTTTTATAATGTTAAAGGACATGACCAGGTAAATATTCCACAAGACGAAGCAGCAACTTCAGTGGCTACACCTGCCCCTACACCTCCCCCCTCACCCCCATCCCAGGCCCCAAAAAGACTTTCCACATCAAGCAGATGTTCACCTGCACATCAGCTAATGTGGTATAGCATCTGCTGTTCCTGTTGTGGCCTCCTCTACATCGGGGAAACCAAGCGGAGGCTTGGGGACCGCTTTGCAGAACACCTACGCTCGGTTCGCACTAAACAACTGCACCTCCCAGTCGTGAACCATTTCAACTCCCCCTCCCATTCCTCAGACGACATGTCCATCCTGGGCCTCCTGCAGTGCCACAACGATGCTACCCGAAGGTTGCAGGAACAGCAACTCATATTCTGCTTGGGAACCCTGCAGCCCAATGGTATCAATGTGGATTTCACAAGCTTCAAAATCTCCCCTCCCCCTACCGCATCCCAAAACCAGCCCAGCTCATCCCTGCCTCCCTAACCTGTCCTTCCTCCCACCTATCCCCTCCTCCCACCTCAAGCCCCACCCCCATCTCCTACCTCCTAACCTCATCCCGCCCCCTTGACCTGTCCGTCCTCCCTGGACTGACCTATCTCCTCCCTACCTCCCCACCTACACTCACCTTTACTGGCTCCATCCCCGCCTCTTTGACCTGTCTGACTCCTCTCCACCTATCTTCTCCTTTATCCATCTTCTATCCGCCTCCCCTTCTCTCCCTATTTATTTCAGAACCCTCTTCCCCTCCCCCATTTCTGAAGAAGGGTCTAGGCCCGAAACGTCAGCCTTCCTGCTTGGCCTTCTGTGTTCATCCAGCTCTACACCTTGTTATCTCTAAAAGTTAGTGAATATTTTCCAATCACATGATGGACTATGTCACCACTAGTGGGCACTGTGGTAGTTCTGCTGATAGCCGTTACAGTGACAAATTAATGTGTGAACTTTGCTTCCAGAAATCTCCAACATCACATCTGTGGCTTTTGCTGCATAATGTTAAAAGTGGTTATTTGCTGCAGAAAATGTGATTTCTGAACTTTCCCCACTGCTGCTTCCATTCTGGAGTGGAATTATTAAGTTGCTTATTTTTTTTTCTTTACAGTGTCAGTCAGTATAGACAACTAAAAGTATTTATCAGCACATGTTTATTTATTTGGTTTTTTTTGGAAATAAATTTTTAT